GTAACACCAGATGTTTTTTGCACTCTTTTCCCTGACCCCAGCACTTTCTTTTGATTTGTGTATATAATAAACTTGTGGCACTAGGTCTGTGTCACAGTATCTCCATCAGAGTGTTGTGCCCTACCTGGTCCCAACTTTACTATTTTCATTTTTGTGTCTTGTGTCTTCCTTTTTTTCTAATCTCCCATCCCTGTATTTGGGTTTAATTTCTTAGTGCGGGTCACAGAGTACAGTTGTTGGACGCCACTAAATATCATAATGAAATCTGAAAACATTTGGAGTTAGAAAACCCAAAGGGAAGAAATGTTCAGCATTTCTCAAGCTGAGGGCACTGAGGAAAAGAATACAAGCCTCAACTTGCAATATTGGAATATTCTATGGGAATAGCATTATTGAGTGATACGGAAAGCATCAGATAAAGATGGACGGAATACACAGAGTCACTCCTCAAAAAAAGGGTCTATATTCAACCATTTCAAGAGGTAGCTTATGATAATGAGTCAATGATTCTGAAGGAAGAAGTCCAAGGTGCACTGAAAGCATGGGTAAGAACAAGGGACTGGGAATTGGTGGAATACAAATCCTTTCAACAAATTGATACAGCACTGGAGGCACGCATCCATCTATGCCAAGAGATTTGGAAGACATCTACCTGGCTAACTGACTGGAAGAGATCCATATTTGTGCCTATTTCAAAGAGATGTGACCCAGTGGAATGCAGAAATCATTGGACAATATCAGTAATATCACAGGCAAGTATAATTTTGCTGAAGATAATACAAAAACGGTTTCAACCATACATTGACAGAGAACTTCCAGAGGTTCAAGCTGAATTCAGAAGATGATGTGGCACAAGGGATATCATTGTTGATGACAGATAGATATTGGTTTAAAGTAGAGAATACCAAAAAGATGTTTACCTGTGCTTTATTGACTATGCAAAGGCTTTTGATTGTATGGACCATGGCAAGCTATGAACAGCATAGGGAAGAATGAGTATTCCAGAGCACTTCATTGTGCTCATGAGGAACCTGTACATAGAACAATAGGCAGTTATTGGAACAAAATAATGGAAAACTGAATGGTTTAAAATTAGGAAAAGTATGTGACAGGGTTATATTTTTTCAGTATACTTATTCAACCTGTATGCTGAGCAAATAATTTGAGAGGCCGGGTTATATTAAGAAAAATGTGGCATCAGGATTGGAGGAAGACTCATTAACAATCTGTGATATGCAGATGTTACCAGTTTGCTTACTTAAAGTGAGGAGGACTTAAATTATTTATTGATGAAGATCAAAGATCACTGACTTCGGTATGCATTGCACCTCAATGTAAGAAAAAACAAAATCCTCACCAATGGACCAATAAACAACATTTATACCAATGTAGAAAAGATTGACATTGTCAAAGACTTCATTTTGCAGCAGCCAAAAAGTCAAACGATGTATTGCATTAAGCAAACCTTTTACACAAGACCTCTTTAAAGTGTTCAAGAGATGTCAATTTGAGGACTAAGGTGCTACCTACCCAACTATGATATTTTCAATAACCTCATGCATGTGAAACTTGGACAGTGAATAATGATGAACATAGAAGGCATGTGGTCTGGCTGGTGACCATTTTGATCACCGATAAGGGGAAGTGAGGGAAAAACAGCAATGAAGTTGTGAGCTAAATCTGACCACATTCAATAGACTCCCGTGAACCTGGGTTGAGATCTGGTTGGCAGATACTACCCATTTGACCTGGCTTCAATGGCTGGATGATCAGAACTCGACTAGAAGAAGAAAGAAGAAGAAGAAAAAAAAGAGTACCCACTACAATTTGATGAACTTTACCTGTAATTATGGATGTAGTAGCTCAAAAAATGGAACAAATCTTTACAAGGATCATTGCCACCTCCTAGGTACACAAGGTTGACAGGAATGGGCAACTTAGACATTGGCTACCCAAAATGAGGGGCAGGCTACAAAGGCAAGAAGTGACTGTCTTACAAGCTTTCAAGAGGGAGCCTAGTTCCAGAGGAAGGTAGAATTTCCACTGAGTGATTTCCCATCTGTTGGGATGGGGCTGATGAAAGGAAATGAGGATAAGATTCTTTTGGTACAATAGTGAATAATTGCTATCAGGACTGACTGTGAGGGTTGGAAATGTAAAGGTAGATGTTTTGTAACCAAAGGAGGGAAGTGATTGATTTTGCAGTCCAGGAGCGGAGGTCCCTGCGACCATCAAGTAAGAAAAGCAGAGAGCAGGATCCTACCCAGAAAAGCAGTGACACCAGAAATGGATGCAGAGATGATGACATGGACAGACTGAGTGGCTGGGGACTCTGGACTCAGGGAAGGATAGGGGCCGGGGGGCAGGCCCGTGGGGTGTACCCTTTGGTTGTTTGATGGTGCATGGAAGGGACTGTAATCATTGCAATGAAACAACATATGATAGGATGAATGTAAATCTGGTGTTCTCCTATGTAAACTCACATAATTCACAATAAAAACTTATTTATTTATTTATTTATTTTTAAAAAGGAAAACCATAGAAGAATTGATGCATTTGAATTATGGTGTTGGAGGAGAATATTAAAAGCACCATGGACTGCCAAAAGAACAAACAGATCTGTGTTAAAAGAAGTATGGCCAGAATGCTTCTTGGAAGCCAGGATGACCAGATTTTGTCGCTCATACATTGAACATATTATCAGGAGGGACCAGTCTCTGGAGAAAAATATGAGGCTTGGTAAAGTCGAGGGTCAGAGAAAAAGAGGAAGACTCCCCAAATGGATGCATTAACACAGTTGTAGCAGCAACAGGTTTAAGCTTAGTAATAACTGTGTGGTTTGTGCAACTCCAGGCAGTGTTTCATTCTTTTGTGTATATAGTGTTGCTCTGAGTCAATACCCAATGCATGGCACCTAACAACAACAATGAAATGTGAGAGAATAAAATTCTGGTTGCTAAAGCTATTGACTTGTGGTATTTTATGTGTAGTAACAATTGTGAGGTTTGTGCAAGACCGGGCAGTGTTTTGTTCTTTTTTGCAAATACGGTCGCTATGAGTCATTACTGACTTGAGGGCACCTACCAACAGCAAGAAACTATGAGAAGATAAATTTCTGGTTGGTAAAGCCATTGACTTGTGGTAGTTCATAGACAACTAAGACAATCTGCCATTTGTGAACCAGTTCTAACAAAGCCCAGCAATAGGAGCAAGCACTATTGATAAAAATTAATAAATACTAAATCAGCATTGTGACAGTCGCTTCCAAGAAGCATTGATTGTTTGAGAGCTTGGAGAGTTTAATCTAAATCTGACAAGAAAGCAACTGTTCTAGAAACTGAAGTTTAGTTGTAATAAATTTGTTGTGTTACCTCAGTCCATGCCTATGCAAAGGACTTGTGGCCAGTAAATGTCTAGCTTGATAAATTTAAAAAGACAGTGACTGGAAACCAGAGTATGGGCCAACATGAACTGTAGAAGAAACTGATGTGAGCCTAAAAACCCATTGCCATTGAGTGGATTTTGACTCATAATCACCCTATAGACAGAGAAGTGCCTGATAGAGTTTCCAAGCCTGCAATCTTTACTTGAAGCAGACTGCTAATATCTGTGTCTCATGGAGCTGCTGTTGGGTTCTAACTACCAATCTTTTGGTGAGCAGCCAATCATTTAATCATTTTGCCACCAGGGCTCCTCGATGTGAGGCTAAGTAGACTCATAAGAGACAGTAATACTAATGATTATTTAAATGGTTGAAACATTTTAACCAAAGTGGAATGTGAAGGTGGGATGTGGGGATGGGTCCTCAGTCAGATGGAGGACAGGTCTGAATGGTGGTGGGATTCTGTCAGCTTCTGCCACCGTCAGCAGGACTTGGCAGGCCTCTCAGACCTGCCCCTTCTCTGTTTCCTTCTGATAGTTCCAACATCCAATATGTTACTCCATTTCCGCTTCACAAGCTGTAACACCAAAGCAGTTCTTTTCCTCAATCTCCCTTTTCTCCAACTTTATTTACAGTTCTCCTCTCTTAAGTTGTCATGTTCAGTTTATCTATTCATAATACGGAGTCTCTGGGTGGTGCAAATGGCTAAACAAAAGGTTGAAGGCTAGAGTTAACTTAGGGTGATTCTTCAGGCACCTCTGAAGAAAGGTCTGACAATTTACGTCTGGAACACTAGCCATTGAGAACTATATGGAGTACTGTCCTACTCTGACATACATAGGGTCACCAGGAATTAGAGTCAATTTAAACGGCAACAGTTTTTCTTTTCTTTATTTTTTTCTTTAATTCATTTAAAATCTTATTGTTGTTAAGTGCCTGTGTAGGATTCTGAATTTCAGCTGGTGAGTTTGAACTCTCAACCTTGTGGTTCGTATTCTAGCACTACAATTTTAGGTGATAGGAAAAGTGAGGTTTCTACAAGAGGTAGCAAGGAAAGTTGAAGAAAGGCAGACTGGGAGAACACAGGCCTCAGCTGCTTTAGGCACTCAATGTCACCCATATTAGGGAACCAATCAGCTGTTACTCCAGGGATCTTAGAAAAGGCAGTCACAGAAGGATGATACTTTCACTTAGACTCAATTTAGGGAGGACCTCCAGGGCTCATGGGACCTGCCAAGAATGCTATTATCTGAATGATTTCAATTTCTGGATGTTAGGACGGAGTGAGTAGAAGCGTAGCCAGCCATTTATGTGGAGGTGCCTGGTGGAGCAGTACCCTTAGAGCTGACAGTGTGCATCTGGGAACTGGAGAGTGTTGATGTGGTTAAAAATCAAATACATCTAATATGTGGAAACAACCTGAATGCCATTACTGGGTGGAGGCAGGGGTGATCTCTCTCAATGCCATGACCCATGATTTTCTCCTTGTTGTACAATGAAAAAAGAAGGGCAAAGGGAGAAAGGCGGTGTTGAGCTGCAGGCATTATCTGTTTGATTAAAGGCCTTATTGACAATGATCTCATATTTGTTCTGTGTGGACAGGGTTGCATACACTAGCAGCAGTTTCAAGAGGGACCTCACCTTACCAGAAATTCAGCTTTTGAATCATAAGGACTGGAGGGGTGTACATAAAACACTGTCAAAGGAATTTAGTGCTTAGGATTTGACTTTGTGGGTTGAATCCATTGAGAAGTGTTTGGGAGGAAATACCTGGTGATCTACTTCAGAAATATCAGCTATTGACAACCCATAGGGTCACCACGAGTTGGAACTGAAAGTCTCTCAAAGTAAAGAATTTCCATTTGGAGTAGCTCTTTCCCTCTCTCGCTCTCAAGCCCTAGCAATGGCTGGCACATGAGCTACCAAGTAAGGTATGGGGCCTGCATACATTTTATGATTCCTCAAACATACATTTTATGATTCCTCAAACAAACAAACATCAGTCTGGAGGGACATTTCAATATTGACTTCGTAATGTAGTGTTTAGGGGTGAAATAATCTCACTGCCTCTCATAAAGCAGAAGTTCAGGTGGGTAATTTTGTTAGAGTTATATTACCTGGGAGCCTGGGCCTCACCATTTCTGCATTGACCCTACCCAGACCTAGTATTTTGTCCTATAGCTCGGGTTGATCCTCCTATAGGAACCCTGGAAACAAAGTGTTTACATCGCTTAGTTGCTAGCCAAAAGGTCAGCAGTTTGAACCCACCAGCAGCTCCCTGGGAGAAAGATGTGGCAGTGTGCTTTCATAAAGATTACAGCTTTGGAAACCCTCAGGGGGGCAGCTCAACTCTGTCCCGTGGGGTTGTTATGAGTTAGAATAAACTCCATGGCAATAGGTTGGGTTGGGTTTTGGTACTCTTGCAATGAAGAGTAGAAGTCCTGTTAGCACAGTGGGCTAAACATTGGCCTACTAACAGCAAGGGTAGTGGTTCAAACCCACTAGTTGCTCAGTAGGAGAAAGATGAAACTGTCTACTTCAGTAATGATTTACAGCCTCAGGAACCCTACAGAGGAATTCTACTTTGTCCTATAGCATTGTTGAGTCAGAAGGGTCAATGGGTAATGAGTTGTGGTGATTGTGTGCCATTGACCCTGTATAGGGTAAGGGGGAGAAAGTTGTTATTACAATCTGGAACATGAGGACATGCCTGGACTTGTTGCTCTGGACTTAGACTTGTCTTCTTTACTTTCCCCCTTCTTCTGAAAGTGCAATGCAGAGTTCATGGGAGGGGCTGATTCCTGGGGAATCGTGAGTAACCTCCCTTTCTCAGACTTAAAAAAAAAAATTAAATAAATCCCAGATCAAAGAGATCCTTGGATGAATGAGACTTGTCCATGGGTAAGGGTAAGAGAAGACCCAACCTGAGTTGTTTTTTAGTTTAGAGGTTTTTTCAATTATGCCCAGAAGTAAAACAGAATAGTGACCATGTTAACCCAGACCCTGGGTTATTATTATTACTGTCTTCCTTTGACCCCTGTCTTGTGTGGGTGCCATATTCTGGTTCTTGTGATTAATAGGATTTCCACTGGCCGATTTTCAGAAGTGGATTGCCAGACCTGTCTTAGGCTATTTTACTCTGGAAGCTCCACTGAAATCTTTTCAGCATCAGAGCTACACGTAAACCCCCACTGACACAAAGGTGGTAGTTGAGCATGGGTGTATTGGCCAAGAGGTGAGAATTCTACCACGGAACTACCACTGTCTGTCAGAAACACTGGATTTCACTTCTTGATCCTGGTTGCTTCCACCTATCCCTGCTAGCCCAGGGCCCTGTTCTATACAGTAGTTCTTTGTCTCTGTTGATAGCTTCTGTATGAGCATTCTGAATACACAGGTGAAGTGTTTACATGTATCAGCTTGAACCTTCCCCAGAAACCTTTAGGGCTATAATGAGATTCCTTTAGAAACTGCCTTACAATTTGACCATATAAGCTGAGAAAATAAAGGGGGCAGGTGGTAGTTATTTTGGGGCACACTTCCAATCACACAATGTAATCATTGGCTTAGTTGAGTCCATTGTTGGCCAGTATTGTGTAGTGTCTTTCAATCTAGGGGTCAAAATATATTGGACAATATATTTCATAAGGTATTCATTGGTTAGTTTTCAGAAGTAGGTTGCCAGGATGTTCTTCCTAGTTTCTCTTAGCCTGGAAGCTCTGTTGACACCTGTCCACCATAGTAACCCTGTTGGTATCTGAGATATGCTTCCAGTGTCATAGCAGCCCATAAGTCTGAGGGTGAGAAGTCACAGTGGAATTGAAAGAATGATGTGACAGAGGTCAGATATCCACTAGAAGCTCCTGATTTACTGGTGGGAAACCTGGTGTTGGTCCAGGAAGACATGGAGTCTGAGTCATTGGGTTGAACTGCAGAGTGTCCCAACTGGTCAATACCAAAGGTTGAGCTGTACAGTTGATTTATATAGATTGATTCACTTAATGCCTTAAAACATTGGTGTCTTCTAGCTTTTGGATCCAGCTATCAAATCCTAGAAGGTCCCAAGAATGCAACAGTACTGGAGGGTTCAGAGGCCCACTTCAATTGCACCGTGTCACAGGGCTGGTTGCTCATTATGTGGGCTTTGAATGGTATAGTGGTTCTGAGTCTCACACCCAAGGAGCCCATCATTACAAACAAACGCTTCACTTCTGCCAGTTACGAAGTGGATGGTAACTTTGTATCTGAGATGATCATCCATGATGTGCAACCCAGCGATGCAGGACACATCAGATGCAGCCTTCAGAACAGTGACCGGGATGCCTCTGCCTTCCTTTCAGTCCAAGGTAAGTATTGTATGCACATGTATCCTCAATGACAGGGCATCTGGAGGAAGAGGAGGGGAGGAAATCACAGAATAGTAAGCATTACTCAAGGCAGCAAAATTCTTAGCCCATCACCAACTGAAGGGCAGATGATATATGTCATTAAAATTTACACAAACTTCTAAAGTCCCCCAAGCCCTCTGACCTAACACAATAGGCTCCAGATGACCCCGTTTTACTATGAGAATATAATGAGGAAGGCTTGAAGACTCCAAAAATTTATCTGATTTAGTTTATTGCAGAATAAGTTGGAGGATCTGTATAGTGTAGTGGTTAAGAGGGCAGACTCACGAGCTGGACTGCCCAGGGTCAAGTTTCAGCTTTATTACTTTCTAACTATGAGTCCTGATATAGCTCTGTAGGATAAACCCTTGATCTCAAGGTTGGTTTGAACCACAAGGCCAGTGGTTCAAACTCATCAGACGCTCATTAGAAACCCTACACAGGTTGCTGTGTCAGAACCGACTCGACGGTACTTAACAACAGCAACTATGCAATCTTAGGAGCCCTGGTGGTGCAGTGGGATAAACACTGGTAGTCTGAATTTTCCATCTACTGTATAGGAGAAAGATGAGGCAGTCTGCTTCCATAATAGGGTTTCCGGTGAGCAGCTGGTGAGCTTGAACGGGTGACCTTGTAGTTCAAACCGACTTTGCAGCCCAGTACATTAGCTTACAATGCCACACCAGGACTCCTATGGGGCAATTCTACTTCATGTTATAGGCTCATTATGAGCTAGAATTGACTTGATGGTAGTGGGTTTTTTTTTTTTTTTTGAGTAGGTGATCTTGGTCAGATTATGTAATGGCTTTGCACCCTACTTTCCTTATGATAGGGTTATTGTGGGAACAAGTGAGTAGGTCTATGTAAAGCCTTTATTTAGAATAAATAGCATCTGGTTCCTAAACTACTATATAGTTGTTGTTGTTGTTGTTGTTATGTGCTGTGGAGTCGTTTCTGACTCATAGTGACCCTGTACTAGGTTTCCAAGGCTGCAAATCTTTACGGGAGCAGAAAGCCTCATCTTTCTCCCACGGAACAGCTGGTAGTTTTGAACTGCTGATCTTGCGGTTTGTAGTCCGATTCATAGACCACTATGCTACCAGAGCTTATAGTTTACTCACTGTTATTTATTATGTCCCCAGTACAACTCTACCATTGTGTTAGGCCTTGAAGGTCTAACTCTATTCATTAAAGATGAATGGAGTCCCTGGGTAGGGCAATGGTTGATGTGGCCAGCTGCTAATGGAAAGGCTGCCCATTGAAGACCTTATGGAGCACAGGTCTACACTGGCACACATTTTTTAAAACGTTGAATATGATAAGACACTGTCCCTGACCCCATGATCTCTATAAGGAGAGCAGATAAGACAAGTACACAAATAATCATGGTGCAATGCAGGTGCCAGCAAGTGCAATGGCAGGAAGATAAGCTCAAGTCCAAAATGGGAAGGGAGATGAGAGACTCAGGAAAGCCTTCATGAGAAACTCCCAAGATAAGGTACCATTAGAGATTTGTTTTGTAGCATTGTAGATTATTCAGTTAAATGGGGAAGGAAGAGTGGCGAGATCATGCCTGGATCAAGAAAACACAGGTTCCTAGGCATGGCTCATTATTGCTACCCTGTTTTTTGTTAAGTGCTATTGAGTCCGTTTTGACTTATAGAGAGACCCTTTATAGGGTTTCTGAGGCTTTAAATCTTTGTGGGAACAGAAACAACTGTCTTTCTCCTGCGAAGTAATTCATTGGCTTAAACTGTCCATCTTGTGGTTCATAGTCCAATGGAACCTATAGCATATCAAATTTGTTAATCCATGTGGTTTTATAGAATTTTAACACAAAGCCATAAATCAGAGAAATCTGCTGTAAAAAAAACCAAAAAACCTCTTTAGAGTGTGAAAAAGCAAAGATGTCACTTTGAATACTAAGGTGTGTCTCATCCAAGCAATGGTATTTTCAATCACCTCATATGCATGTAAAAGTTGGATAGTGAATAAGAAAGACCTGAGAAGAATTGAGGCATTTGAGTTATGACAGTGATGAAGAACACAGAATATAGCATGGAATGAAGATGGAACCAATCTATCTTAGAGAAAGTACAACCAGAATGCACCTTAGAAGTGCGGGTGGCGAGATTATGTCTCATGTATTTTGGACATGTTATCAGGATGGACATGTTCCCTGGAGAAGGACATCATGCTTGGTAAAGTAAGAGGGTTAGAGGAAGACCCCAGTGAGATGAGCTGAGACAGTGGCTGCAACATGGTCTCAAAGATAATAATAACTGTGAGGATGGGGCAGCACTGGGCAGTATTTCATGCTGTTGCTATGAGTTGGAACTAACTTGGTGGCACATAGTAACAATAAGAGCAAACAACATGCCTTTTTATCTAATGGTGATTATTACAGCTTTTAAGGATACCTGGTAGATTACTAGCTGGGCTACTCACCTCAAGGTCAGTCGTTCAGATCTACCAGTTGCCCCTCAGGAGAAAGATGTACAGCTTCAGAAACCCTATATAGAGTCACTAGGAATTGAAGCCAAGTCAGTGGCACACAGCCACCACTACCACCATTTTTTAGTTCAGATGGAAGAACAAGCGTTCAGAGAAGTAAAAGACTTCTCCAAGGTCACACAGAATAAACTCATACAGTCAGCATAGAACTCTGACCAATTTATCCTGGCTCCATTGGTCCAAACAACCTTTTGTGGTCAGTGGAACAAATGCTATCTGGACAATGGGAACTTCCTCAAGGCTAAATAAATCTTGAAAAAAGAGAAAACACCCAATTTATTTCAGAATTATGTAAGAATAACTTCTTCTCCCAAAGTATCAACAGAGAAAATCAAGAGAGCTTATGTAACACTAAGTCGAATCATCTAAAATGTACATGAAAGTTCTAGTTATCACCTTTGCATAAAGTATATACAACAGTGAAGACTAAATGCACCTGATCACCTTTGTGAAAGCAAACATGACAAAGGTGAATCCCAGTTGCACAAAGAAAAAGGAAATGATTCAAACTGCTTCATTTTGTCCATTTACTGTCCAATCCACCAATTAATCACACACCAAACTGTAGACGTATTGTGCTTTGAGGGTCACAAGAACTTCAGTTCAGGATCTTCTATTAACTGCAGCAATACCATTCTTCTCAGTTTCTGTTTTAAACCTCTGCATCAAACAAAACAAAATAGACAGACAGACAGACAAAACAAATCAAAATAAGATTAAAAACAAACACAAAACCCTTTAGTCTTAAGGGGCAAATCCTTTCCCCACTTGTTGTTGCATTTACAGTAGTCCTTGAATTAGCCAAGGGCTTTGTTTCCTTATTCCAATATTCTGAAAAAGAAAAATTGGAAAACTAACTTAAGAATAAGAAAAGGTTCTAGAGATGATATAGTTCAATGTGGAGTTCTCAGTGCAAACAGTTAACATGATCTGGCTCTGCTATTAATCAAAATGTTGGTGGTTTGAGTCTACCCAGAGACACCTCAGAAGAAAGATCTGGAAATCTACTTCCTAAAAATCAGCCATTGAAATCCTATGGAGTGCAGTTCTACTCTGACACACATGGAGGTACCATGAATCAGGACAGGCTTGACAACAACTGTTCACTGTCTTCCAAACCCTTTCAGGGTAGTCTGCAATACTGAAGCTGTTTTTCTAATAAAACCAAGACATGAGTTGTCTTTTCAATTCCCATTATCACAACTGCACAGAGTTTTCTACTCGACATTGAGAACTCACCCACTGCCATAGAATTGATTCCAAATCATAGTGACCCTATATAGGGTTTCTGAGACTATAGAACTTTATTGGAACTTTTTATAAGTTGTCTAACCTCCATCTTTCTCCCTTGGAGCCACTGGTGGATTTGAATCACTACAATAACTCAGTGAACTCAATCATTTTTCAAATAACTGATGTATAATGATACAAAACCATACACTTGTAAGACAACCACTCACACTATCAGATAGAACAGTGAATTTTAATGTAACAGAATATTAAAGTTCTTGGCCAAGTTTCAGATCCCATGGTGTAACTAACGTTTAAGAAATCACCACTTGTCCAGTTTTAGACAAAGAAGAATATCCATGATTACCCGAAAGGTTATTAAACACTCCACACTGTTCCAATTACAGGAGTTCTGGTGATTCAGCGAGTAAAGCATTGGACTGATAACCTCAAGGTTAGTGGTTTAAACCCACCAAATAAGGCTGTCTGCTTCCATAAAGATTTACATTCTCAAAAACCTCACAGAGCAGTTTTATTCTGTCCTATAGGGTCTGTATGAGTCAGACTCAACTAGACAGCAGTTGGTTTAGTGGGATTTGGATTTCAATCACATACATCTGGAAGTCAGATTTTCTTTATATACTTCAAACAAAAGAATATATCGCAACAGATTGAACAAAGGTACGATAATCCAGCCAGATATGAAAGGGATTTATGTAATTGTAAAACAATGATGCTTTTTTGTTTTACAGTGATCATTGTTTTTCGTAAAAACATGTTATCTGTGTTAACATGTAGTGAGGTTATTCTTGCAATTTTCAAATAGGCAAATATTTGAAATTCTTAGTTTTAATTTTAAATATGATACATACTGATGTATATAACCCATATAAACAAAAGGTCTTTGGGGTCCTCAGAGATGTTTAAGAGTATAAAGACAACCATAAGCTGTAATGTTTTGTTGTTGCTAAGCGCTATTGAGTAGGTTCAGATTCACAGTGACCCTACATAAGTTTCCAAGGAGTGACTGGAGGTTTTAAACCACTGATCTTGCGGTTAGCAATCCAGTGCTTATCCTACAGCACTATACCAGGTAATATTTTATATCATTGATTTAATTGGTTATGTCACTAAATAGGAGGAAAATTGAGAGAAAGAAAGATGTAATGACTTGCCCAAAGTAATGGCAATTTTGTGGCAGAGCAATGACTGAAAGATTATTTGATTTTTCATTCAGTGTTCTTTCCATTATACTATGCACCAAGAAGTTTAAAAACATTTCAGTGTATATTTCTCTATGGCTGTGTCTTTACTGGGTCCAACCTTCAGGCTATTTTAGGATTTCTGGCCACAAACAAGGGTTCTTTTAAGATGGTCTATTTACAGTGTGGAGTCCAGATGTGGCATTGTGGATTAATGCGCTGAACTACAAGATCGACGGTTCAAGCTCACCAGTTGCTCCTTTGAAATCCTATATAGGGTCACTATGGGTTGGAAATGACTCGATGACACTTAAAAAAAAAAAAAAATTTACAGTGTGAATGCTGAAATGTATAAGTGAGTCCTTTATAAAAACTTTCAAAGAGTTTATCTGAGTTAGATATAATTGGCTTAGTTGTGTCTGTAATTCTGTGATTTTGTAACTAGAAAAAAAAATTTTTTTTTAAGATACCACTGTAGGAAGTTATGTTAAAAAAAAAAAAAAAGACGTGTCAATAGATTCCTAGAAAGGTAAAGAGGCAGATTGACAAAATGCTCCTATGTGGTATGGTACAGACTGTTTGTTAATTTGCTCTCCTGCACACCAGAAGGCTGAAGGTTCAAGTCCACCAAGATGTCCGTCTGAAGATAGTCCTGGCGATCTACCTATGGAAGACCAACCATGGAAGACCCTACAGAGTATAGCTCTCCTCTGATATATATGGGGTCACTAGAAGTCAGAGTTGACTTCGTGACAACTGATTTAACCAAATGGCAAGGAAACATTTGTTTCCCGTGAAGTTCTGGAATTAATTTTCTTGACATTGAAAAGAACCGAAGGGTTGGACTGAGAACATTTGCAACTCTGCTTCAATGACTGTGTAGTCCCAATGGCATACGCATCTGTGTTCTCTTTCACATAACACTTATTCCCCCAACTCCTGATTTTTACTCTTTTATTTTATCTGTAATTATATATTTTCTGAACATGGGAACACTGAATGGTTTAAAATTAAGAAAGGTGTGCAACAAGGTTGTATTCTTTCACCATACTTATTCAACCTGTATCCTGAGCAAATAATCTGAGAAGCTGGGTTATATGACGAAAAGCATGGCATCAGGATTGGAGGAAGATTCATTAACAACCTGCAATATGCAGATGATACAACCTTGCTTGCTGAAATTGAAGAGGACTTAAAACTGATGAAGATCAAAGAGCATAGCCTTAGGTATGGATTACATCTCAATGTAAAGAAAACAAAAATCCTCATCAGTGGACCAATAAACAACATTCTTATCAAAGGAGAAAAGATTGACGTTGTCAAGGACTTCATTCTTTTTGGATCAACTATCAACACTCATGGAAGCATCAGTCAAGAAATCAAACTACATATTGCCTTAGGCAAATCTGCTCCACAAAACCTTTTTAAAGTGTTGAAGAGCAAAGATGTCAGCTTGAAGACTAAAGGTGCGCCTGACCTAAGCCATGGTATTTTCAGTAACCTCATATGCATGTAAAAGCTGGACAGTGAATAAGGAAGACCATAGAAGAATTGATGAATTTGAGTTATGGTGTTGGAGGAGAATACTGAAAGTACCATGGGCTGCCAAAAGAACCTATAGATCTGTTTTGGAAGAAGTGCTCTTTGGAGGCCAAGATGGCCAAACTTCGTCTCTCATACTTTGGACATATTGTCAGGAGGGACCAGTCGCTGGAGAAGGATATCATGTTTGGTAAGGTGGAGGGTCAGAGAAAAAGAGGAAGAACACCAACAAGATGGATTGTCCAAGTGGCTGCATCGATGGACTTAAGCATGGCAACAATAGTGAGGCTGGCCCGGGATCAGGCAGTGTTTCGTTCTGCTGTGCATAAGGTAGCTGTGCATAGGTATCGACTCGATGACACCTAACAACAACAACAACAACCCTCACCTTCTCTAGGGAATCTGTTATTGTCAAGTGCTGTTGAATCAGTTCCAACTCATAGCCACTCTGTATAGTGTTTCCAAGGAGCAGCTAGTATAAATAAAGACACCAGTAAAATCTTGTTAAGGGTTTCCAGTTCCAGTCACTTTCATCTTAGGGAGATGTCTCTCGTGAAATACGATTTGAAGCAAAAATGGAAAACAAAAAAATAACACAAAAACCTCCTGGAAGTGAGGACTATTGTTATTTATTCAGGATGTTTCTCTTTTTTCTTCTTTAGTTATGGGAGAGCTGTTCATTCCCAGTGGTGATCTTGTGGTCACTGTTAGTGAGCCCTGTAATGTTACTTGTCGTGCACGGGGCTGGGCGCCTCTCCCAGATATTACCTGGGATATTGGTGTTCCTGTAAGCCATTCCAGCTATGACTCTTTCCTGGAGCCTGAGGACCCTCAAAATGCAGTGAGCATTCTCTCTATCACGCCACAAGGCAATGGAACTTTGACTTGCGTGGCAAACGCGAAGGATTTGCATGTTCATGTGTCTGCAGCTGTTAATCTCACTGTGATTGAGTCTCCTTTGGGTAAGTGGCACCTTCTTGCTTTCTATATTATAAGTGATTATTTCATGCCTACATTTTATATGTCATGCTACTTAATCAACAACACTGAGGGAAATTGTATGGTGACATTGATTTCAGATACGGGTGGTAATGAAGGCAAATTACCTGTGCTGTCAGTTTAATGACTCTAATTCTGTCTGCTTTAAAAATCCCATCTAAAAGTTCTCTTTCCTTTTCTACTTGCATATAAAATCCATGAAGTATGTAGCCAATTCTTTATCATAAAACAGCATAAAGTTCAGAGAGAAGCACTTGAATTAAAATGTTATTCTCTATTTTCCATTGTCCGTTGTTGGCTAAGCACTCCACCGTAATTTAAACCACAATGTCGGTGGTTCAAATTCACCAGCTGCTCCTTGGAAACCCGATACAGGGTCACTATGAGTAGAAACTGACTTGATGGCACTTAACAACAACAATTTTATATATTTATTTATTCAAAGTCAATCCTTTGAATATTTGAGGAAGATTCTTAAATCATTTAGGATTTCTTCCAATCTCAGTGAAATTGTAATGTTTCTTATTTTAAACCAGTAATTCCACAGTGTATTTCAAAGTATCAAGTCGGTTTTATTTTTATCTTGACTGAATGAGTTGAATATGTTTGAATTTTAAATCCCCCAAAGAGTCTGCCTTGAGGTCTTAACAGTGAAAATTCTAACCAAGGCTTTTCATGCTGTCTGCAGACTCTGCTGAACTCCGAGCTGCCCAACTAGGAAAACAGGTTTATTGCAGGGTCCTGAGTGGGGCTGGAGGGTGCATTTAACTTCTTCACTGTACCAAAGAGGAAAGAGTGGCCTAAAGAAGTGCTGTGCAGACCATATGGTTGGATGGGACAGAGCTGGGTCTAGAAGCTAGGAAGGGTTTCTCTCTTGGTCCAAAGCTCTTCCAACTATGAAAATATCTTAAGATACTTTAAAATGTGGACAAAGCTATAGTTAAATCAAAACATAATTTATTCTTTTCATTCATGGTGTTGCTGTTGCTAAGTGCCATCGAGTTGGTCCCAACTCATAGTGACCTTATGCACAATAGAACAAAACACTGCGCAACTCTGCATCAACCTCACAATGATTGCTTCGCTTGAGTCCATTACTGCTGCCACTGTGCCAATCCATCTTGTTGGGGGCTCTTTCTCTGTTTCACTAACCCTCCACTTTGCAAAGCATAATGTCCTTCTTCAGGGACTGGTCCCTCCTGACAATATGTCCGAAGTACGAGAAATGAATTCTGGCCATCCTGTCCTCCAAGGAGCACTCTGACTGTACTTTTTCTAACACAGATCTGTTTGTTCACTTGGCAGTCCTTGGCACTTTTAATATTCTTCTCCAATACCATAACTCAAATGCATTAATTCTTCTAAGGTCTTCTTTATTTATGGTCCAACTTTCACATACATATGAGGTTATTGAAAATACCATGGCTTAGATCAGGTGCACCTTAGTCCTCAAAATGACACCTTTGCTCTTAAACACTTTAAAGAAGTTTTGGGCAGCAGATTTTCCTAATGCAATACATCATTTGGTTTTTTGACTGCTGCTTCCATAAGTGTTGATGGTTGATTTGAGCAAAATGAAGTCTTTGACAGTTTCAGTCTTTTTCTCTAATGCCACTAACGAGAAAATTGAAGAATTTCTACCAACTTCTTCATTCATAGTAGTTACATTCTATGAAATCACCTTGAACACTGAATAGTAAATACGAAGTCATTACTCCAGGTGAAATGTGGAATAGGTTCCTGGGAGCCTCTGACATAGCATTTTAATTATCCTATTAATGCGTAACCTTGTTTACAAATGTAAATACTCCTTGTTTAATACATGTTGTTGACTCATGAACACTGCACTCATGGCCAACAAACAGCACTGTAACTCCTGCTTGAATGAAGCTTATCTAAGTCATATGTTGTCTCCAAAAGGCACATCATGACCTTCTTGCACATAGGAGCAAGAAGTAGGGACAAAACTATAGTTAAATCACAACAGTTTGACAGCACTTCATCACTATGCTTGGGTGCATTTTAAAAAACAAATTCACCAAGAAAAAAACAAAAAAAATGCAGAAAACCAAATAGGCCATGTGAAGGACACTTGTTTGCAGCATGAAGCTGAAACATTAAGACAGAGTGTCCCCTTAATTGACCTCATCTGGGAACATGCACAGTGAGCCATTCATATTTTTCGTCATCCTGACCACGTCCACAAAAGACAACAAAGGTGCCCCATCTATGGAATTTAAGGTTACAAAATAAATGGCTTGAAATGGTTCACATTCACAAATCTGGATAATGACAACAATAACAGACTAATAATAGCTAACAGCACTCTATAGTACAAAGTGGCAGACATTGTCACTGTACTTTTCAAATATTTATCAAATTAATCTGCACAACGGGTTATAAGTAGGAACTACTGTTCTTACTTTTAAAGGTGAGGAGACAGTTTCACAGTGTTGGGAATTTGCTCACCTCCATAAAGCTAGTAAATGGCAGAATGCAGTTTTTGCAATCTGGATCCAGAGTTCGTTCACCCATCAACTCTTCCCACCACCAATGGACAGTGTGAGGGACAACTTGGATGGTGTTACAGTGAACCTATGGAAAGCTATACAGAATCTAACCTGTTGTAAGTGCCAATAGTTCTGTACCTTATACCACATGGATTAAGCTCTCATACATTTCAAGCTTGCTCCCCCAAAGTTATCTCCCCACCTTGGTACCTACTTATGCCCAAGGAGACTTGCTTACGACAGAAATGAGTGGACAAGTGACGAGATGTTTCAGGTTGAAGATAGATTGATGGGTCTGTGAAGAGCTGGAAGACACACATGTCCCTTTCACACAGAGAGGCTGATGCCAGCTCATTAACTGCTGCCAAGGGAATGTGGACTCAGCACTGCAGACCTTCCAGTTTTTCAAGAGAAGCTAAAAATCTGGATTCCATATGAACTCGTTTGACTTTTAAATGTTAGCAACCAAGTAAACATTTTTGTAACTCTGCAGGCCAGGAAAAACAGCAGGGGCTTGGCACTACCCATTTGTCAAACCCTGCTGTAAAGTCTCTTTTTTAAAAATGGGCCAAAACTCAGTCATTAGGTCTATGAAAAGTCAAAAGGTACTGCAGAGTCAAAATTTATCTCAAAGAGAAAAATTAACAGCCAATAATTTTCTAAGTTCAATGGAACAAAGCCAACTATAACCTTTTTTCTCTTTTGGAAGGTTCTGGGAGGTCCTTTGTTCTGGAATAATAAAGAAACATAGAGCCAGTCACTTGTTGGGGTAACCTTTGCTTATTTCTTTTTCTTTCTTTCTTTTTTTTTTTTTTTTTACATTTATTTTGATTTGAATGAAGGTCTGCAGAATAAAGCCTCAATCCCACATTCAACAAATCTTATGCTTTGCTTCATTACAATGATTGCAATCCCTTCCATGTACCATCAGTTAACAGTATTTACCTCTATTCAACTTAACTCTTGCACTCCTCTCTGGGTCTTCCACTACCTTCATCTTTCCTGTGCCAACCTCCCTCTTGTTATTGCCTTCCCCCGTCATCCAAGTTAACGTGTTAACCCTCTAGCCAATGAATAATTTCCCCTTCCCTCCAACCCCTAGTAACCATCGTAGAATGTTTCTTTTAGCAAGGAAATCTTACAAAAGTGGTCTCATACAATATGACATTTTGTGGCTGACTAATGTCACTCAGCATAAAGCTCTCCAGGTTCCTCCATGTTAATGAGGTATTTTGAAGATTTATCATTATTCTTCGACATTTTGTAGTATCCCACTGTGTACCAAACTGTGTACCAAAGTTTGTTTAACCATTCTTCTATTGATAGGCATTTAGGCTGTCTTCACCTGTTTGTTATAGTGAATAGTGTTGCAATAAACATGGGTGTGCATATATCTATTTGTGTCATGATTCTCATTTCCTGTGGGCTGCTAATGTCAAGGTCAGCAGTTCAAAACTACCAGCTGTTCTGAGTGAGAGAGATGAGATGTTCTGTGTCGGTAAAGATTTATAGCCTAGGAAACCCTATACAGGGTCGCTATGAGTTGGAACCAACTCCACGGCACATCACCCCCACCATATACCATGTAGAGGAATTGCTGAGTCATGTGGTATTTCTATTTCCAAGTTTTTAAAAAAATGCCATACCAATTTCCACATCATTTTACAGTCCCATTAACAGTGTAGAAGAGTCCCAGTCTCTCCACATGCTATATTGGTTGCTTTCTGTTGTTTTGTTGTTGGTTTTGTGAAGTTTGCTATTAATGCTGGGTTTCAAACATACTAGTTGCTCCTTGGAAACCCTATACAGGGTAGGTATGAACTGAAACTGACTTGACAGCACTTAACAACAACAAGATGATATGTCATTGTTACTTTGAATTGCATCTCTCTAATGCCTAATGATCTTGAGCATTTCTTCATATATTTGTTGGTCACTTGGATGTCTCCTCTAGCGAAATGTCTGTTCATGTCCTCTGCCCACCTTATAATTGGATTATCTGTCTTCTTGTTGAGGTGTTGAAGTGTTCTACACATTTTAGAGAGCGATCACTTGTCTGATATGTCATTGCTAATTTTTTTTCCCAGTCTGTGGGTCCTGTTTTTATTCTTTTGGTGAAATATTTTGATCAATCTCTGGTGTCACTACTTCTCTGGATAGAGTCCCATATTCCACTCATGCTCTTCTCTCTTGATGGTGCTAGGGTTCTCTGTTCCTGTAATGTGTCGTTTGATTTCTTGACTGCTGCTTTCATGAGTGTTGATGATTGATCCAAGCAAAATGAAGTCATTGACAACTACAATCTTTTCTCAGTTTATATAAATGTTATTGATTGGTCCAGTGGTGAGGACTTTTGTTTTCTTTATATTGAGGTGCAATCCATATTGAAGTCTGTGGTCTTTGATCTTCATTTTAGAAAAACATTTCATTATTTTAAGTCCTCTTCACTTTCA